TGGGGAGAATGTCCACTGGGGAGGATGTCCACTGGGGGAGGATGTCCACTGGGGGAGGATGTCCACTGGGGAGGATGTCCACTGGGAGAGGATTTCCACCGGGAAAGGATGTCCACTGGGGAGGATGTCCACTGGGGGAGGATGTTCACTGGGGGAGGATGTTCACTGGGGGAGGATGTCCACTAGAGAAGAATGTCCACTGGGGGAGGATGTCCACTGGGAACGGATACTCACTGGGGAGGATGTCCACTAAAGGAGAATGTCCACTGGGGGAGGATGTTCACTGGGGGAGGATGTTCACTGGGGGAGGATGTCCACTGGGGAAGATGTCCACTGGGAATAGATATCCACTGGGAAAGGATGTCCACTGGGAAAGGATATCCACTAGGAGAGGATATCCACACTGAGGAAGATGGTCAGTGAAGGAGGAAGTCCACTAGGAGAGGCTATCCGTTGGGGAAGGATGACCACTGGGAGTTGTCGACAGGGGAAGCTGCCCAGTGGGAGATGTCCACTGGAGGAGCATGTCCACCACGGGATGATGTTCACTGGAGGAGGATGCCCACTTGGGGAGGATGTTCACTGAGGATGTCCACTGGGAAAGATGTCCTTGGGGGAGTATGTCCACTGCAGAAGGATGTCCACTGAGGAAGGATGTCCAAACTTCCATAGGTGCAGGGCAGAGATAGGACCTCTGGTCATGCTGCAGTGGGTAGGGTCCAGTACTGGTGGGGGCCTGACGGTCCTACCTTTATGGAGCACCTTTGCCCACAGGGACACAAGAAGGGGCAGAGAAGTGTTAAGGACCGAGTGGTGGTTGGTCCTGGAAGCTGGGGACCATTCTCCAGGGTGGGAAGGGCTCTAGACAAGCTGTCCATCCTGCACCACATCCAGATGGTCAGCCCCATGGGGTGCAGGCTGGTGCAGTTTCTAGTCAGCCCACCCATCTGATCTGGGCCGGACTCCTGGCTGAGTGAATGAATGAGTGAGTGAATGAATGAATGACCTGGAGCTGACTGTGGGGATCCATCAGGTCTGACTAAGGAACTTAGACTGTTAGGAGGCCATGGAGCAATGTGGACGAGGTGAGCAGCTTAGCTTCCCCTCCCCTCCAGCCCTTACCACCCACAGAGAAGAAAGGAAGATGGGAGGGAGGGAGGGAGGGAGGATGAAGGGGGAGAGGGAGGAAAGGAGGGAGAGAGAGAGAGGGAGGGGGAGGAAGGATGAAGGCTGGAGGAGGAGGGAGGGGAAGAGGGAGGAAGGGGGGAGAGGAGGAGAAAAGGGAAGAGGGAGGAGAGAGGGGAGGAGGGAGGAGAGAGAAGAGGCGGGAGAGAAGGAAGGAGAGGAGGAGGGAGAGGAGGGAGGAGGGAGAGGAGGAGGAAAGGGAAGAGGGAGGAGCGCAGGGAGGAGGGTGGTACAGAGAGGCGGGGGCAGGAGCCCGGGCTGTGCTCACCGGCACACGGCACACACGAAGCAGTCAGGGTGGTAGGTCCTGCCCAGCGCCGACACCACCTCGCCCTCGATGAAGCAGTCACAGCTGAAGCAGCGGGTGCCATAGAGCCTCTGGTAGTCCTGGGTGCAGATGTACTCATCCTGCCGCACGAAGAAGCCGCCCTCGGCCAGGTCACAGCCACATACTGGGGGCCAGCACAGGAGCCAGGTGAGGGGACATCGCAGGCCTCCTCCCTGTCCCCACAGACCAATGGACACCCTAGGTACCCACCTCCCATCAGACAGGTGCCCAGCCCACCTCCATGTGCCCAGGTACAGTCCTCGGCCGACAGAGGATGCAGGTCCTGCCCCACTGGACCCGCAGGGCCATTGTACTGGGTCCCTGTGTCCTGTCAGTCCCTGAGTCAGGTGACTCAGCCCTCCAGAAAGGGCCATTTCTGAACCCCAAGTACAGCTGTCTCAGGGTCTCCCACTCTTGGTTCCAGGCCATCCGGGTCAAGGGTGGCCCTTGTGACTCTGTCAGGATGACTGCTGGTGCTCAGTTCCCTCCCTGGTTCCCACCCCTTTTAGTCCAAATGCAGCCTCACTGCCAACCAGAACCCCCACTCAGTCCTTCACCCCCTGTGAGCCAGCCCATGTACCCGGCACAGCAGGGTCCCAGCCAAGAGCTCCCCCAGGCTCTGCCCAGCCTGGCTGTCAGAGGATCAGCCCCAGTGCCCAGAAGTGAGGCACTGCTCCAGGCCCCCAGATCAGTATTTGGAAAATCCCCAAAGCACCTCCACACCTTTTAATTGACAGATTTTAACCTGGTTAAGTGGTAATAAAGCAGCTTCTGGGTACTGTAAACACTGGAGTATTTAAATGAAGTTGTAACACGGGAACTGTATCCATTAGATGTAACCCTGGGAGTGTATCCATTAGCTGTAACTTGACACAGCAGTTTGCAAATGGGACTTCTCTATTGCATTTTCTTTTTTCTTCTTTTTTTCTTTCTTTTTTTAAATTTTTTTTCTTTTTTCTTGAAAACATATTGCGTCTTCATTCCACGCCCCTCCCAGCATTCACAGAGCACTGTGGGGTCTGGACGTGTCCAGACACTACACCAGGAGGGTGCACCTCACCTTCCCAGCATTGGGGAAGCTCACCTCCCCAGGCAGGACACAGCCCAGAGAAGCAGCTGGCAGGACGCATTACATGTCTTCTCCCTCCCACGAGTAACCTCGGGGTTCCGTCAGCCCAGCCCGTCCAGGCGAGGAGGGGAGGCCTGGCCCGGAGGTCAGGCGTGCTATGCTGTGTGCTGGTGACCGCAGACAGATGTGCTGAAATTCTCCAGCGCAGGGGGCTCTGCTGACAGATGGGCAGTAACCACACTGGACAGAAGCCCTGTGGCCACCTGGACACCAGCCCCGTCCCACGGACCTAGACAAAGCCTTAATGCCTTCCTGTCTCTGCTGGAGCCCGGTGGGGCAATGGTCAGGCACCTGGCTTCTGACCAGTCAGCTGCTTCCTGGGAGATGAACAGTGGACTGCTGTAAAGACTGCCGTTGTTGTTGTGTGCCCTGAAGTCAGAGCCAACCCACAGCTGACCCTGCAGTGGGTTTTCAGAGGCTGGAGTTGCTCATCTGCCTCTGGTGGTGAAGCGGGTGGATTTGAACCTTGTCCTTCGAGTTACCAGCTCAGCTCCTCAGCCCTAGGCCACCAGAGCTCATGCGGTTACATCAGAGCTTCCTGAAGATTAAGGCCTGTGAACCCCAGGGGCAGAGCTGCTGTGTCCTCCAAGGTAGCTGGGGGTCAGAAGGATCCCACTCCAGGGCTTCCACAAGCCTCCAGCACCTCAGCTCGGCCTTCTCTAAGACGCCCTTGCTCTGACCGTCCAGGGGGCTTGGCGCTTCTCCAACACCACAGCTCAAAGGCATCAATGCTTCTCTGTCACCCTTATCAACTGCTCCATCTTCCCCAGCACACGAGGCAATGGCTAACACTGCAACGACAGGCATCAACTCTTGGTCTTCCAGGTTCATTGTTCAGCTTTCAAATGCACATCAGGCAATGGAAAAGGACCCTGGCTTGGGCAAGGCACCGTCAGTCCTCAGGGACATCTCTGTATCAATACTGTTACCGTCTCTGCTACTGATCAAACTCTGAGAGCTGGACTGTGGGTAAGGAGGACAGAAGCACTGACGCCTGTGAGCTGTGATGCTGGAGAGGAGCCCTGAGCCTCCTGCGGACGGCCGAGAGAACAAGCAGACGCATCTTAGAGGGTGCGGCCGGAGTGCTCTTAGGAGGCAGAGGCCTGCTTTGGACCTGTTGCTAGGAGAGGTTATTCCTTAGAGAAGGAATCATGCTTGGGAAGGCCGAGGGGTGGTGAAAGAGAGAAAGACCCCAGGTGAAGACTGACACAGTGATGCTGCCAAGGGCTCGAGCGTGTCCGAGACTGAAGCTGGCCCAGGACTGGGCAGGGTGCAGAGCTGACGGTCGCTCAACTCATCGGCACCTAACACAGCGGGCACCACAGACGTTTAAGGCCCTGGTCCTCCCCAAAGTCCGAACACACCAACAGTGGGCAATGGGGACCACGCACGGTTACCAGGTTACACTGGGCAGCGGATGCCCGGTGGTGGCCTCTCGGCCCCCACAGGAGGCCCATGTCCCGTCCCAGTCAGGGTACTTCTCGTCCAGCTGCCTCTCACTCATCAGTGGAGGCTTCTGGACCAGGACAGTCACGAAGGACCTGGGGAGGGGCTGCCACCCATCAGGCAAACAACATCAGGAGGCCACTGGCCACTCCTCAGGAGAAGAGGGACGCCCTCCCTTACAGACGCAGCCTCAGGAATCCATGGCGGGTCAGCATGAGTCAGGGGGCACCGCCCAGCTGAGGGGTCTTCCTTGTTCATGTGGGTGGGTCTTAACTCCCCTGCTTTCTTTGTGGCTGTGCGCTGAGGCCCGGCCGGGAGCCCACGTGTGGTGCAGGGTCCTGCTGTGCGCTGAGGCCTGGCTCACAACCCATGTGTGGTGTGGGGGTCCTGCTGTGCGCTGAGGCCTGGCTCGTAACCCACGTGTGGTGTGGGGGTCCTGCTGTTCCCTGAGGCCTGGCCGGGAGCCCCCGTGTGGTGTGGAGCTCTCCTGATGACCAGCGGTTCGGACCTGCCTGCTGACGTGCAGGAGAAAGCTGCCCAGGCCCCTCTCATAAAGACCCGTCGCCTTGGGGACGGCGTGAGGGTGGCATGATCAGCGTGGATGGCACTCTACGCTGTGAGAGTTTTGCTCTGGTGTGTTCCAGGTGTTGATGGCCTTCAGAGCAGGCACAGCACTAAGAAAACGTTCCAAGCATCACCAGAGTGACAGTGGTGATGCGGAGATGATGGTGACACAGATACAATGTGAGCACGTGCCATTGGGACGCTGGTGATGCGGTGCCTCCACGTGAACACATGATGCTCGGACGATGTTGCCAGGGCACGTGCTCCAGGCAGGGTCTCCACGCACTTTGTTCGTAAGAAACACCGAGTCTCTGGGGCACAATAGAATGAGGTCTGCAGGGCTAGGCTGGTGGCCACTTGTCCCACACCAGCCCCTGGACAGTGAGGAGGGGAGACGCTGTCCCTGCCTGTCCCATAGATGTGGGCAGTGAGGAAGGGAGACACTGACCCTGCCCATCCTATACCAGCCCCTGCACAGTGAGGAGAAAGATGTTGTCCCTGCCCATCCTATACCAGCTCCTGAACAGCGAGGAGGGAGCTGTCCCTGCCTGCCCCATCGATGTGGGCAGTGAGGAGAGGAGACACTGCCCCTGTCTGTCCTATACCAGCCCCTGGACAGTGAGGAGGGGAGACACTGACCCTGCCCATCCCATAGATGTGGGCAGTGAGGAAGTTAGACGCTGTCCCCACTGTGGTCTCACAGGGCACAGTCGCCTGTCTAGGATGGCACCCTGAGGGAGTGCCTGGGGCAGCCCCCTCCCCAATCCCTCAGGTCAGGTGAGGTGATGGCGAGGCGTTTGGGGCTTCCCATCAGATTCCAGAAATCCTTTTCCAGGAGCCCAGCCCTGAACTCTCAGAGGGTGTTTCACAGAAGATTTCCGTGCATTCATCTTTTCAGGGACGCAGCAAATGGACTCTTGCTTCCAGGAGAGGAGAGTAGGATGGAAGCCAACAGGGAACTGCAGTGGAGGAGGGGGAGCACTGGCAAAGGTGGGGTGCAGTGGGGGTGGGGGTGCAGCGGGGGCAGGGAGAGGGGTGGCAGACAGGAGGGGGTGCATGTGGGGGTGCAGGGAGATGGGTGACACAGGTGCAGTGGGGGCAAGGAAGATGGGTGAGGTGTGGTGGGGACAAGCAGGGGGTTCAGGTGGCGTGGGGGCAGATGGAGTGGTACAGGTGAGGTAGGGGATAGGGAAGATGGATGGCAGGTGGGGTGGGAAGCAGGTGGAGGTGTGGGTGGAGTAAGGGACAGGGAGATGGGTGGCAGGTGGGTTGGGAGGCAAGCAAGAGGGTGGGGGTAAGGACAAAGAAGATGGGTGGTAAGTGGGGTGGGGAGCAAAGAAGATGGGTGATGGGGGGCTGGAAGGCAGGTGGGGGCACAGGTAGAGTGGGACAGGGAGATGAGTGACAGGTGGGGTGGTGGCAGGAAGACGAGTGGCAGGTGAGGTGGGAGGTAGGCAGGCAAGTGGGCATCACTGTACCATGTCTGGGTGGGGGCACAAAGCCAGGGGCACTCAGGAGACTAGCCAGGTCATGGGGACCCAGAGGACATCAATTCCTTCCCCTAACACTGCTCTGATGGGCTGCCCTCCATTCTCAGGCCCCAGGCAGGGAGGAGCCACGCTGTCTGGATGAAGGAAGTGGCCCATGTGACTGCTAGTGGACACACAGTGGGCTGGCTGAGTCCATCCACCTCAGCCCCGGGCTGCTGGGCCTCAGACACGCCCACAGAGCACCGAGGTCCAGAACCGCCTCACTTCTCTGCCTCCGAGCCCAGCCGGGCCTTGTTCTTGTTGGCAGCCATGGTCCCCAGTCCTGGGTCCAGGGCCTGCAGACAGGTCTCACCTGGTCCACTTCTGAGCCCAGCCGCGCCTTGTTCTTGTTGGTGGCCGCTGTCCCTGGTCCTTGGTCCAAAGTCTGCAGACAGGGCTAACCTGGTCCCCGGTGTGTGTGTGTGTGTGTGTGTGTGTGTGTGTGTGTGTGTGGTGTGTGTGTATGAGTGTGTGTGTCTCTGTGTGAGAGTGTGTGTGTGTCTCTGTGAGAGAGTGTGTGTATGAGTGTGTGTGTGTGTGTGTGTGTGTGTGTGTGTGTGTGTGTGTGTGAGGGTGCGCACGACACTCACAGGCTGAGCTTTAAAGCTCAGGGTGAATCTGTTCCTACGAGCTCAGTGCACAGAGCTCCATTTTCACTCAGCATCACACCCACAGGGTCCATCACCTGCTGATGTCAAGTGTCCTCAAGGCTCCGGGTCACGGTGACCCCATGGACAGCGCAAACCCTGCCTGGCTGGCTCCTTTCTCCGTCCATGACATGTGCGAGGCCATTGCTGCAGTCACAGTGTCAGTCCACCCAGTCGAGGGTCTTCCTCTCCGTCTCTGTGCCTCCACCTTTTCTGGCATCATGTCCATCTCCAAGGACTGGCCATTCCTGACCACGTGTCCACCGCGTGTGAGGTGAAGCCTTGGCACCCTCGCCTCCAAGGAGCAGCCTGGCTGCACGTCCTCCAGGATGGGCCTGTCTCTTCTCTGGACAGTCCTTGGTGGTCAGCGCTTGTCTCCAGCGCCACAGCCCAAAGGCCTCAACTCCTCTTCACCCTCCATACACGCATTCAGGGAGACAGTCCAGTCCATAGCACCCCGACCCCACCCATGTCTGACCTTCTGGCACCAGGGCCTGCTCTTCATACCCCTTCCCCCCCAGGTCAGGGCGGAGCCTGGTTCTGGGTGCCCCAGTCTCAAATGAAACAAAAAATTCCACTGCCTTTGCTGGGACTTGGTGCCAGGGCCCAGGGAGGCTGCCTGTGAAGGGGGTGCTTGTGGAAAGTACAGGGGGTCCAGGCCTGGGGCCAGGCAGTTCTATAAGCAGTGGTCCTCAGTGACACCCCCAACAGTGTCCACGCCGCACACAGGGCCTCAGCTCTTTGGGTCAGGCTTGGGTCAGGTCCCAGGATGTCCACCTTTCTCCATGTACAGGGTAAGCTCCCCGGCTTCGCTGGTCCTGTGGTCCCCCGCACACCCTGTCACATGGGGCCAGTTCCTGCTTCTCCTCACACAGATACTTTCCACCAGTGGTCACGGTGCAGGAATCCCTGAGGGTCTCTGTCCACTGTCCTGCCTCCCTACGCCAAAGGCTCAGCAGTTGACAGAGCAGCACCACTAGTCGTCTGTCCACTTGTCTGTCCGTGTGGCCCCCCTCCTCCGAGAAGCACCAGCACACGGTCTGAGCCTATTCAGGTACATAAGGCGATAAGGCCAAGGGGCCACCACCTCCACCTTGTGGCTGCTGCCTTGGAGCCCTGACTGAGGACAGCCACGCCCCCTCTGAGGACAGCCACGCCCCCTCTGAGGACAGCCACGCCCCTCTCTGAGGACAACCACGCCCCCTCTGAGGACAGCCACACCCCCTCTGAGGACAGCCACGCCCATCTCTGAGGACAGCCACACCCCCTCTCTGGGGACAGCCACGCCCCCTCTGAGGACAGCCACGCCCCTCTCTGAGGACAGTCACGCCCCTCTGAGGGCGGTCACGCCCCCTCTCTGAGGACAGCCAAGCCCCCTCCTCTGTTGGGTCCGCGTTCCACTTGCCCGAGGGTCGGTAAGGGCAGGTGACAAGAAAGGACCTCAGAGGACATCCCATAAACCACGGGGAGGTGAGGGCTGTGGCTGGTCACTCACACTGGGCCTGAGGCCAGCGGTCACACCCAGCACTGCTGCATCAAAGAAGAGGACACTGTCCTGTCTGCCTGCTGAGTGCCTCGGGGGGTTGGCGCTGGGCAGAACAGGTTCCGCCGGCCTGTGCTCAGTCCCCCGGTGGTCCCGTGTCCCCTCCTTGTGTGAGATGACATCATGGAGACCTTGTCCATCAGGAGCCATGGAGTCGACTACGACAAAGAGCTCCCACCCCTACACTATGACCGAAGCCTTGCTTATCCTGCCCCGCCCCCCATGACCACAGCTGTGCCTATGCCCACTGTCACGGTCACTGTCTCGATCAACCTTGTTCAGGGGCTTTTTCTCAATTGTTTGCTCCTTAATGGTGAGAAAGTGGATCTTTGTTCATGGAAACACCCCTATTGTACATGTGTCACAGCTTGAAGGCAGACAGGGTTGATGGGTTTGTCATCAGGAGTGGTCCAGTGGGCGGAGCGGGCATTCTGTGAATTTGTGTGCCCTGCCCTCCCTGACACTGACTTTGTCATACTGGCCATGACCCCCACGGGGCTGGCTCTGAATCCCGGGTGCAGCACTCCAAGCCCCCAGTCACTCTCACCCACAGATTCGCAGTCACACCCACCAGGGATACAGGCTGCCTGAGACGCCCACAGGGTGCACAGAGGTTCTGGAAGCCCTGCTCTGCCGAGGTGCCCTGCTGGCCGGGAAGGGGCACTCACCCTTGCAGATGAAGCACTGGATGTGGAAGTACTTGTTCTGCACACGTAGTACCTCCCCCCGGCACACGTTCCCGCAGGTGGTGCACAGGACAGCCGTGCTGGGCTGCTTGTCCAGGGGCCCGGGGGCCGCAGGCGACTGTGACACTGTGGAGAGAGAGCAGATGAGGGGCTTGGCCATGACCCGAGAGACCCACAGACTCAGGGTGTCAGTGTTTCAGCCACAAAGCCAGCGATCACTTGTCAGAGGGACGAACCCTGTCACCCAGGTGGGAGACAGGTGGACGCAGCAGGACCACGGCCCCCAACACTAGCAAGCTCTGCAGGAGTAGTCATAACAGCCGGCAACGGTGCTGGCCCCGCAGCGCTCACCCGGAATCAGGACGCACAGCAGCTCACCCCACATGTCCCACCCGACCCCACAGGGAGGAAGCAGGAGGCGTCCAGCCCTGGCTCAGAGATGAGGCTGGCACAGAGCGAGGACACCACAGACGGCCGGGCGGGGGCTGCTGTGTCACCTGCCCACCTCGGAGGCTGAACCAGAGTGGAGGTGGGTGGGATGTGGTTCCTCAAAGCTGTCTTGGTCCTCCAGGCAAGGAGCAGGGAGAAGGGACAAGGCCCTGTCCCCTCAAGGTCAGGCAAGGTGAGTTATCACAGTGCTGGGCTGGGACTCAAACCAGGAGGAGTGTCCTGACCTCAATGCGGAAGCTGCAGGTTCCTGGGGAGTGGGCTCAGGGTGACCATGTCCAGCAGGAATGTTGGGGAATGGGCTCAGGGTGGCCATGTCCAGCAGGTATATGGGCTCAGGGTGACCATGTCCAGCAGGAATGTGAGGGAGTGAGCTCAGGGTGACCATGTCCAGCAGGTATGTGGGCTCAGGGTGACCATGTCCAGCAGGAATGTTGGGGAATGGGCTCAGGGTGACCATGTCCAGAAGGTAGGTATATGGGCTCAGGGTGACCATGTCCAGCAGGAATGTGGGGGAGTGGGCTCAGGGTGGCAGACCCCCTACTCCATCTCCAGGGGCTCGTCCCTTCACCTCTCCACCTCCACCAGCTCTGGTCTAAGCTACAGTTCAAGGATTGCAGGACCGGCTGGGGTCAGGGACCTGGTGCAGACACCAGGCCGCGATGCCCAGCCTCCTGCCCAGTCTGCACGGGGCCCAGCAAGCCCCAGTGGGATCGGAGCCGGAGCCGTCTGCTCGGACCACACTCTCGAGCTTCCTTCCATTCTCATGTGCCATCAACCACCTGCCAGATGACTCGCCAAACTCTACACCTCGTGGGTCCTGACTCACAGCACCTCCACTGTAATGGGTGGACACTGCCCATCCCCCCGTCCCCGAGTAGCTGGTGGATTTGAACTGCCAGAGATGCACAGCCCTTGGTTGGCAGCGCACAGGAGCCGCCTTTGACCAGTGGTGGTGCCCGGTACAGCAATGTGCTTCTCCGTAAGGCTCACGTGACCAGACCGCCAGGCCCCTGGGGTCACGCCCCCGCCCCCCATCCTCACATGACCAGACCGCAAGGCCCCTGGGATCACACCACCCTATGCTCACGTGACCAGACCGCCACGCCCCTGGGGTCATGCCACTCCTATCCCCTGCATGGAGAGGGTCACTGCAGGTCACACCAACCAGAACCCACTGGCCATGCCAGAGTCGTCACTGGGACCCTCACCGAGAATGAAGCCCACTCTGCATGGACTCCCAGGGCCCTGAGGTGGAGCTAAGGGGACAGGTAGGAACCACTGGACACCCAGGAAGCTGTAGTCTGAGTGGCCTATGTCCAACAAAAGGACTCCGCTGCTGGCTACAGTGAGTCACAGGACTGAGCAGGCCACCCCACACAGGATGACAAGTGTGGAGGGCCACCTAGGATGGCTGGCACAGGGCACCGAGGGTCATCTGGGGTGACCATCAGAGAAGGCTGCCCAGGATGGTTAGCGCAGTGACCGGCACAAAGGGCCACCTGGGGTGACCACCATGGAGGGTCACCTGGGATGACCTGACCAGAGGCCTGCCCAGGGTAACCACCTCAGAGGGCTGCCCAGGATGGCTGGAACAGAGGGCCACCTGGGGTACTGCTGCAGAGGGCTACCAAGATGGCCAGCTTAGTGACTGGCACGGAGGGCTGCCTGGGACAGCGACCAGTGTGGAGGGCTGCCTGGGGTGGCCTGCACAGTGACCAGTGTGGAGGGCTGCCCGGGATGGCCAGCACGGTGACCGGTGCGGAGGGCTTCCTGGGACGGCCAGCACAGTGACCGGCATGGAGGGTACCTAGCCACCTCTCTCAGCTCATGCTGCGGTAACATGGTTCCAGGCTCACTTCCAGATGGCTGGCCTGGCCCACCCGCACTGGACTTGGCCAACCATGTCATCCATGACCTGGTCCAGAGCAGCCTACAATTGGCCACCCTTCCCCAGTGTCACTTGTGGGAAAGTCACACAGACACGTGGTGAGCGTGGCTTCCTCCCAACCTACTTCAGCACCACCTGCTAATTATAACACGGCAGCTGCTCTCAGGAGGGATGAAGGGCAGAGTCAAACCGTCCCCAACAGAGGCCTGTGTCCTGCGGCCTCAGCACATCACTCATCAAGTTATCCCTTCAGTGTCAAAGGGCATGGGGCCACTCTGTGCTGAGTGATAGGCCGGTTCAGGACAGTAATGGCAGACACAGGACCAGCCAGGAGCTCTCAGCCCAGGACACTACACCCAGGGAGACCACCAGGGTCACTCTTCCGAGGTCCACTCCACTCCAATAATCAGACTCTCAAATCTGCAGAGATGCAGGCAGCCACCTCCCTCATGGGCCTGTCCACTCCTGATCACAGCCCTGCTGGGAGTGTTCCCACCTCTCCTACAGGCCCTGATCTTCAGCCTCCTGTGGGCTACCTTCCCTCCAGGGGCGGTGGCCAGCTCCCTCTCAGAGTCCTAAGAACTGGCCTCAGGCTTGGACACCAACATGTGCTGACAGGACTGGGCAGGTGACCACTTCTGAGGTTCGTAGACTGGACCAATGTGGATGTACTTCTGCTCTCCTGGGACATCTGACCTTCCGTGGTCCCTGGGGTCCACCCCTCCCCTGATATATGTCCCTCTGAGAGCTGTGGCTACCTCACTTAGCCTCCCCAGAGGTTCAGCACAAGCTGGGGGTCTGGAGCTGGTGTGGTGACTATGAAGTCCAGCCTGTCACTGCAGGTACAGCAGAAGGACGCACTGCCCCATGAGGCACCATGGCCGTCGCCGTCACCAATGGAAGCTGGAACCACCCTTTCAGCCACTATGTCCATCTGTCCCATGGTGGGCTTTCCTGATGCTCCGCTTGGCCATGCATGATGTCCTTCTCCAGGAATGGGTCTTTCCTGATGAAGGGCTCAAGGCCAGTTACATGAAGTCTCACCCCTGGTGCACAGCCTTGAACCAGAGCTGTGTGTTCTTGGAGAAGTCCACATGGTGGTGATGGTGTGTACCATTGAGTCGGAACTGACCCATAGCTGACCTGCAAGTGAGTTTACAGAGGCTGTAAATGACACAAGAGGACTCTGTCCATATTTCTCCCACAGAGCAGCAGGTGAGTTCAAACCATGTGCCTTTGGGTTGGCAGCACAGCTCCTGTCCACCCAGCCAGGAGCGCTCCCATTTGGCAGTCCATGATCCCTTCAATACTCGTCACCAGCACCTCAATGCAACGGTGTCTCTTCTCCAGGCTCCCTCATTCATTCCCCACACATGAGAGGTGATGGCAAAGGTCATGGCTGGGCCCGTGCACAGCCTCAGACCTTGATGCCCAGAGGGTTAGTCTGGGCACCCCTCAGTCCTCAGAGCCCAGAGGGTTAACCTGGGCACGGCCTCAGTCCTCTGTGCCTGGATGGTTGTGCTGGGCACCCCTCAGTCCTTGATGCCCAGAGGATTGGCCTGGGCACAGCCTCAGTCCTTGGTGACCGGAGGGTTAGCCTGGGTACCCCTCAGCCCTCGGTGCCTGGTGGGTTAGCCCAGGCACAGCCTCAGTCCTTGGAGCCCAGAGGGTTGACCTGGGCATCCCTCAGTCCTCAGTGCCTGGAGAGTTGGCCTGGGTATCCCTTAGTCCTGACGATACCTGGAAGGTTAGCCCAGGCACAGCCTCAGTCCTCGATGCCCAGAGGGTTGACCTGGGCACCCCTCAGTCCTTGGAGCCCAAAGGGTTGATCTGGTCACAGCCTCCATGTGCAGCCTCCTCCAGCACAGGCGTGACTATGTGACCATTCTCACGTGTGCACGTTCCTCTCTGTGACGTGTCCACCTTGATCCACATGCCTCAGCATCTCCAGGAGGGACCCACACCTGGGCCCTGAAATCTGACTTGTCCCTTCGAACTGCCGTGGGGTGGTCCCTCCTGTCCCACATTCTGTCCTTACAACATGACCTGCTCCCACTGAGGAGCTGAGACCCCCCCCAACAAAACCTGGGGGGATGTGGTGATGGCATCGACAACAGAATATGAAGAAATGAAGCCATGTGTCTTCTTCAAACATCACACATCTGCCTCGCTGTCAGGACGAGCGTGCTGGGCACCCAGGAAGCCCAAGCTAGCAGCAGCATGGAGTGACCACAGGCTGAGTTGCTTCAGCCACCGGACATGTGACCCAAGACGCTGCCAGAAGCCCCAGTCCAGTTGTCATATCACCACAGGCCCCTTCTTCCTGATGGAACCAGACACGGTGGGACGGACAAGCCCCCTCCCTGGCGGCCTTTCTGACCCTCAGGGGCCCGTGATCCCAGCAGGGTGGCTGTTTCATGCTGTGAAGTTTTGGATGTAGCCACAGAAAACTGGAAGGATGTCCCCGTGGTGACCCCATCATGACCCCTGAACACCACTTTGCAGACTCCGAGGTCCACCCACAGAGCTCCACGCCCTCCACCCCCACCCAAGGAGTGGCTGGTGGATTTGAACCACTGACCTATCAGTTGGCAGGCCAGCACACAACGCCCTCCACGGCTCAGAGTCAGGCTCCTTCCTGTAAGGATAGCAGTTGGAGGATCCAGAGGACAGCTGTACTCTGTGGTGTGGAGTCGCTTGGCCTGGACAGCCCTGGACATCGCTTCCTGTGCCCTCAGGGACGTGACTTTCTGACTTGACATGGGGGTGGGGTGTCTGAGGGCAGGAGTCCACTTGAAGTGTCGGGATTTCCCCGTCACTGC